AGGGGATGGAATGAGGGAGAAGGGGATGGAATCTGGGAGAAGGGGATGGAATCTGGGTGAAGGGGATGGAATCTGGGAGAAGGGGATGGAATCTGGGAGAAGGGGATGGAATCTGGGAGAAGGGGATGGAATCTGGGAGAAGGGGATGGAATCTGGCAGAAGGGGATGGAATCTGGGAGAAGGGGATGGAATATGGGAGAAGGGGATGGAATCTGGGAGAAGGGGATGGAATCTGGGAGAAGGGGATGGAATCTGGGAGAAGGGGATGGAATCTGGGAGAAGGGGATGGAATTGGGGAGAAGGGGATGGAATCGGGGAAAAGGGGATGGAATCTGGGAGAAGGGGATGGAATCTGGTAGAAGGGGATGGAATCAGGGAGATGGGGATGGAATCTAGGGGAAAGGGATGGAATCTGGGAGAAGGGGATGGAATCTGGGAGAAGGGGATGGAATCTGGGAGAAGGGGATGGAATCTGGGAGAAGGGGATGGATTCTGGGAGAAGGGGATGGAATCTGGGAGAAGGGGATGGAATCTAGGAGAAGGGGATGGAATCTGGGAGAAGGGGATGGAATCTGGAGAAGGGGATGGAATCTGGGAGAAGGGGAATAGGAAGGGGATGGAATCTAGGGAGAAGGGGATGGAATCTGGGAGAAGGGGATGGAATCTGGGAGAAGGGGATGGAATCTGGGAGAAGGGGATGGAATCTGGGAGAAGGGGATGGAATCTGGGAGAAGGGGATGGAATAAGGGAGAAGGGGATGGAATCTGGGAGAAGGGGATGGAATCTGGTAGAAAGGATGGAATCTGAGAAAAGGGGATGGAATCAGGGAGAAGGGGATGGAATCGGGGAGAAGGGGATGGAATCTGGTTGAAGGGGATGGAATCTTGGAGAAGGGGATGAAATCTGGGAGAAGGGGATGGAATCAGGGAGAAGGGGATGGACTCTGGAAGAAGGGGATGGAATCTGGGAGAAGGGGATGGAATCTGGGAGAAGGGGATGGAATGAGGGAGAAGGGGATGGAATCTGGGAGAAGGGGATGGAATCTGGGAGAAGGGATGGAATTTGGGAGAAGGGGATGGAATCAAGGAGAAGGGGATGGAATCTGAGAGAAGGAGATGGAATATGGGAGAAGGGGATGGAATCTGGGAGAAGGGGATGGAATCTGGGAGAAGGGGATGGAATCTGGGAGAAGGGGATGGAATCTGGAAGAAGGGGATGGAATCTGGGAGAAGGGGATGAAATCTGGAAGAAGGGGATGGAATCTGGGAGAAGGGGATGGAATCTGGGAGAAGGGGATGGAATCTGGGAGAAGGGGATAAAATCAGGGAGAAGGGGATGGAATCTGGGAGAAGGGGATGGAATATGGGAGAAGGGGGTGGAATCTGGGAGAAGGGGGTGGAATCTGGGAGAAGGGGATGGAATCTGGGAGAAGGGGATGGAATCTGGGAGAAGAAAGATGGAACCTGGGAGAAGGGGATGGAATCTGGGAGAAGGGGATGGAATATGGGAGAAGGGGATGGAATCGGGGAGAAGGGGATGGAATCTGGGAGAAGGGGATGGAATCTGGGAGAAAGGGATGGAATCTAGGAGAAGGGGATGGAATATGGGAGAAGGGGATGGAATATGGGAGAAGGGGATGGAATCGGGGAGAAGGGGATGGAATCTAGGAGAAGGGGATGGAATCGGGGAGAAGGGGATGGAATCGGGGAGAGGGAGAAGGGGATGGAATCTGGGAGAAGGGGATGGAATCTGGGAGAAGGGGATGGAATCTGGGAGAAGGGGATGGAATCTGGGAGAAGGGGATGGAATCTGGGAGAAGGTGATGGAATCTGGGAGAAGGGGATGGAATCTGGGAGAAGGGGATTGAATCTGGGAGAAGGGGATGGAATCTGGGAGAAGGGGATGGAATCTTGGGGAAGGGGACGGAATCTGGGAGAAGGGGATGGAATCTGTGAGAAGGGGATGGAATGAGGGAGAAGGGGATGGAATCTGGGAGAAGGGGATGGAATATGGGAGAAGGGGATGGAATCTAGGAGAAGGGGATGGAATATGGGAGAAGGGGATGGAATCTGGGAGAAGGGGATGGAATCTGGGAGAAGGGGATGGAATCGGGGAGAAGGGGATGGAATCGGGGAGAGGGAGAAGGGGATGGAATCTGGGAGAAGGGGATGGAATCTGGGAGAAGGGGATGGAATCTGGGAGAAGGGGATGGAATCTGGGAGAAGGGGATGGAATCTGGGAGAAGGTGATGGAATCTGGGAGAAGGGGATGGAATCTGGGAGAAGGGAATGGAATCTGGGAGAAGGGGATGGAATCTGGGAGAAGGGGATGGAATTTGGGAGAAGGGGATGGAATCTGGGAGAAGGGGATGGAATCTTGGGGAAGGGGATGGAATCTGGGAGAAGGGGATGGAATCTGGGAGAAGGGGATGGAATGAGGGAGAAGGGGATGGAATCTAAGAGAAGGGGATGGAATATGGGAGAAGGGATGGAATCTAGGAGAAGGGGATGGAATCTGGGAGAAGGGGATGGAATCTGGGAGAAGGGGATGGAATCTGGGAGAAGGGGATGGAATCTGAGAGAAGGGGATGGAATCTGGGAGAAGGGGATGGAATCTGGGAGAAGGGGATGGAATCTGGGAGAAGGGGATGGAATCTGGGAGAAGGGGATGGAATCTGGGAGAAGGGGATGGAATCTTGGAGAAGGGGATGGAATGAGGGAGAAGGGGATGGAATCTGGGAGAAGGGGATGGAATCAGGGAGAAGGGGATGGAATCAAGAAGAAGGGGATGGAATTTGGGAGAAGGGGATGGAATCTGGGAGAAGGGGATGGAATCTGGGAGAAGGGGATGGGATCTGGGAGAAGGGGATGGAATCTGGGAGAAGGGGATGGAATCTGGGAGAAGGGGATGGAATCGGGGAGAAGGGGATGGAATCTGGGAGAAGGGGATGGAATGAGGGACAAAGGGATGGAATCTGGGAAAAGGGGATGGAACCAGGGAGAAGGGGATGGAATCTGGGAGAAGGGGATGGAATTTGGGAGAAGGGGATGGAATCTGGGAGAAGGGGATGGAATCTGGGAGAAGGGGATGGGATCTGGGAGAAGGGGATGGAATCTGGGAGAAGGGGATGGAATCTGGGAGAAGGGGATGGAATCGGGGAGAAGGGGATGGAATCTCGGAGAAGGGGATGGAATGAGGGACAAAGGGATGGAATCTGGGAGAAGGGGATGGAATCTGGGAGAAGGGGATGGAATCCGGGAGAAGGGGATGGAATATGGGAGAAGGGGATGGAATCTGGGAGAAGGGGATGGAATCTGGGAGAGGGGGATGGAATCTGGGAGAAGGGGATGGAATCTGGGAGAAGGGGATGGAATCAGGGAGAAGGGGATGGAATCTCGGAGAAGGGGATGGAATCTGGGAGAAGGGGGTGGAATCTGGGTGAAGGGGATGGAATCTGGGAGAAGGGGATGGAATCTGGGAGAAGGGGACGGAATCTGGAGAAGGGGATGGAATCTGGGACAAGGGGATGGAATCAGGGAGATGGGGATGGAATCTAGGGGAAGGGGATGGAATCTGGGAGAAGGGGATTGAATCTGGGAGAAGGGGATGGAATCTGGGAGAAGGGGATGGAATCAAGTAGAAGGGGATGGAATCTGGGAGAAGGGGATAGAATCTGGGAGAAGGGGATGGAATCTTGGAGAAGGGGATGGAATCTGAGAGAAGGGGATGGAATCTGGGAGAAGGGGATGGAATCTGGAAGAAGGGGATGGAATCTGGGAGAAGGGGATGAAATCTGGAAGAAGGGGATGGAATCTGGGAGAAGGGGATGGAATCTGGGAGAAGGGGATGGAATCTGGGAGAAGGGGATAGAATCAGGGAGAAGGGGATGGAATCTGGGAGAAGGGGATGGAATCTGGGAGAAGGGGGTGGAATCTAGGAGAAGGGGGTGGAATCTGGGAGAAGGGGATGGAATCTGGGAGAAGGGGATGGAATCTAGGAGAAGAAAGATGGAACCTGGGAGAAGGGGATGGAATCTGGGAGAAGGGGATGGAATATGGGAGAAGGGGATGGAATCGGGGAGAAGGGGATGGAATCTGGGAGAAGGGGATGGAATCTGGGAGAATGGGATGGAATCTAGGAGAAGGGGATGGAATATGGGAGAAGGGGATGGAATATGGGAGAAGGGGATGGAATCGGGGAGAAGGAGATGGAATCTGGGAGAAGGGGATGGAATCGGGGAGAAGGGGATGGAATCGGGGAGAGGGAGAAGGGGATGGAATCTGGGAGAAGGGGATGGAATCTGGGAGAAGGGGATGGAATCTGGGAGAAGGGGATGGAATCTGGGAGAAGGGGATGGAATCTGGGAGAAGAAAGATGGAACCTGGGAGAAGGGGATGGAATCTGGGAGAAGGGGATGGAATATGGGAGAAGGGGATGGAATCGGGGAGAAGGGGATGGAATCTGGGAGAAGGGGATGGAATCTGGGAGAATGGGATGGAATCTAGGAGAAGGGGATGGAATATGGGAGAAGGGGATGGAATATGGGAGAAGGGGATGGAATCGGGGAGAAGGAGATGGAATCTGGGAGAAGGGGATGGAATCGGGGAGAAGGGGATGGAATCGGGGAGAGGGAGAAGGGGATGGAATCTGGGAGAAGGGGATGGAATCTGGGAGAAGGGGATGGAATCTGGGAGAAGGGGATGGAATCTGGGAGAAGGGGATGGAATCTGGGAGAAGGTGATGGAATCTGGGAGAAGGGGATGGAATCTGGGAGAAGGGGATGGAATCTGGGAGAAGGGGATGGAATCTGGGAGAAGGGGATGGAATTTGGGAGAAGGGGATGGAATCTGGGAGAAGGGGATGGAATCTTGGGGAAGGGGATGGAATCTGGGAGAAGGGGATGGAATCTGGGAGAAGGGGATGGAATGAGGGAGAAGGGGATGGAATCTGGGAGAAGGGGATGGAATATGGGAGAAGGGGATGGAATCTAGGAGAAGGGGATGGAATCTGGGAGAAGGGGATGGAATCTGGGAGAAGGGGATGGAATCTGGGAGAAGGGGATGGAATCTGAGAGAAGGGGATGGAATCTGGGAGAAGGGGATGGAATCTGGGAGAAGGGGATGGAATCTGGGAGAAGGGGATGGAATCTGGGAGAAGGGGATGGAATCTGGGAGAAGGGGATGAAATCTTGGAGAAGGGGATGGAATGAGGGAGAAGGGGATGGAATCTGGGAGAAAGGGATGGAATCAGGGAGAAGGGGATGGAATCAAGAAGAAGGGGATGGAATTTGGGAGAAGGGGATGGAATCTGGGAGAAGGGGATGGAATCGGGGAGAAGGGGATGGAATCCGGGAGAAGGGGATGGAATCTGGGAGAAGGGGATGGAATCTGGGAGAAGGGGATGGAATCGGGGAGAAGGGGATGGAATCTGGGAGAAGGGGATGGAATGAGGGACAAAGGGATGGAATCTGGGAAAAGGGGATGGAACGTGGGAGAAGGGGATGGAATCTGGGAGAAGGGGATGGAATTTGGGAGAAGGGGATGGAATCTGGGAGAAGGGGATGGAATCTGGGAGAAGGGGATGGAATCTGGGAGAAGGGGATGGAATCTGGGAGAAGGGGATGGGATCAGGGAGAAGGGGATGGAATCGGGGAGAAGGGGATGGAATCTGGGAGAAGGGGATGGAATCTGGGAGAAGGGGGTGGAATCTGGGAGAAGGGGATGGAATCCGGGAGAAGGGGATGGAATATGGGAGAAGGGGATGGAATCTGGGAGAAGGGGATGGAATCTGGGAGAAGGGGATGGAATCTGGGAGAAGGGGATGGAATCTGGGAGAAGGGGATGGAATCAGGGAGAAGGGGATGGAATCTCGGAGAAGGGGATGGAATCTGGGAGAAGGGGGTGGAATATGGGAGAAGGGGATGGAATCTGGGAGAAGGGGATGGAATCTGGGAGAAGGGGATGGAATCTGGAGAAGGGGATGGAATCTGGGACAAGGGGATGGAATCAGGGAGATGGGGATGAAATCTAGGGGAAGGGGATGGAATCTGGGAGAAGGGGATGGAATCTGGGAGAAGGGGATGGAATCTGGGAGAAGGGGATGGAATCTGGGAGAAGGGGATGGAATGGGAGAAGGGGATGGAATCTGGGAGAAGGGGATAGAATCTGGGAGAAGGGGATGGAATCTGGAAGAAGGGGATGGAATGGGAGAAGGGGATGGAATCTGGGAGAAGGGGATAGAATCTGGGTGAAGGGGATGGAATATGGGAGAAGGGGATGGAATCTGGGAGAAGGGGATGGAATCTGGGAGAAGGGGATGGAATCAGGGAGAAGGGGATGGAGTCCGGGAGAAGGGGATGGAATCTTGGAGAAGGGGGTGGAATCAAGGAGAAGGGGATGGAATCCGGGAGAAGGGGATGGAATCTGGGAGAAGGGGATGGAATCCGGGAGAAGGGGATGGAATCTGGGAGAAGGGGATGGAATCTGGGAGAAGGGGATGGAATCTGGGAGAAGGGGATGGAATCCGGGAGAAGGGGATGGAATCTGGGAGAAGGGGATGGAATCTGGGAGAAGGGGGTGGAATCTGGGAGAAGGGGATGGAATCTGGGAGAAGGGGATAGAATCTGGGAGAAGGGGATGGAATCTGGGAGAAGGGGATGGAATCTGGGAGAAGGGGATGGAATCTTGCTGAAGGGGATAGAATATGGGAGAAAAGGATGGAATCTGGGAGAAGGGGATGGAATCTGGGAGAAGGGGATGGAATCTGGGAGAAGGGGATGGAGTCCGGGAGAAGGGGATGGAATATGGGAGAAGGGGGTGGAATCAGGGAGACGGGGATGGAATCCGAGAAAAGGGGATGGAATCTGGGAGAAGGGGATGGAATCTAGGAGAAGGGGATGGAATGAGGGAGAAGGGGATGGAATCTGGGAGAAGGGGATGGGATCTGGGTGAAGGGGATGGAATCTGGGAGAAGGGGATGGAATCTGGGAGAAGGGGATGGAATCTGGGAGAAGGGGATGGAATCTGGGAGAAGGGGATGGAATCTGGGAGAAGGGGATGGAATTGGGGAGAAGGGGATGGAATCGGGGAGAAGGGGATGGAATCTAGGAGAAGGGGATGGAATCTGGTAGAAGGGGATGGAATCTGGGAGATGGGGATGGAATCTGGCAGAAGGGGATGGAATCTGGGAGAAGGGGATGGAATCTGGGAGAAGGGGATGGAATCTGGGAGAAGGGGATGGAATCTGGGAGAAGGGGATGGAATCTGGCAGAAGGGGATGGAATCTGGGAGAAGGGGATGGAATCTGGGAGAAGGGGATGGAATCTGGAGAAGGGGATGGAATCTAGGAGAAGGGGATGGAATCTGGGAGAAGGGGATGGAATCTGGGAGAAGGGGATGGAATCTGGGAGAAGGGGATGGAATCTGGGAGAAGGGGATGGAATCTGGGAGAAGGGGATGGAATCTAGGAGAAGGGGATGGAATCTGGGAGAATGGGATGGAATGAGGGAGAAGGGAATGGAATTTGGGAGAAGGGGATGGAATCTGGTAGAAAGGATGGAATCTGAGAGAAGGGGATGGAATCAGGGAGAAGGGGATGGAATCTGGGAGAAGGGGATGGAATCTGGTTGAAGGGGATGGAATCTGGGAGAAGGGGATGCAATCTGGGAGAAGAGGATGGAATTAGGGAAAAGGGGATGGAATCTGGAAGAAGGGGATGGAATCTGGGAGAAGGGGATGGAATCTGGGAGAAGGGGATGGAATCAGGGAGAAGGGGATGGAATTTGGGAGAAGGGGATGGAATCTGGGAGAAGGGGATGGAATCTTGGGGAAGGGGATGGAATCTGGGAGAAGGGGATGGAATCTGGGAGAAGGGGATGGAATGAGGGAGAAGGGGATGGAATCTGGGAGAAGGGGATGGAATATGGGAGAAGGGGATGGAATCTAGGAGAAGGGGATGGAATCTGGGAGAAGGGGATGGAATCTGGGAGAAGGGGATGGAATCTGGGAGAAGGGGATGGAATCTGAGAGAAGGGGATGGAATCTGGGAGAAGGGGATGGAATCTGGGAGAAGGGGATGGAATCTGGGAGAAGGGGATGGAATCTGGGAGAAGGGGATGGAATCTGGGAGAAGGGGATGAAATCTTGGAGAAGGGGATGGAATGAGGGAGAAGGGGATGGAATCTGGGAGAAGGGGATGGAATCTGGGAGAAGGGGATGGAATCAGGGAGAAGGGGATGGAGTCCGGGAGAAGGGGATGGAATCTTGGAGAAGGGGGTGGAATCAAGGAGAAGGGGATGGAATCCGGGAGAAGGGGATGGAATCTGGGAGAAGGGGATGGAATCCGGGAGAAGGGGATGGAATCTGGGAGAAGGGGATGGAATCTGGGAGAAGGGGATGGAATCCGGGAGAAGGGGATGGAATCTGGGAGAAGGGGATGGAATCTGGGAGAAGGGGGTGGAATCTGGGAGAAGGGGATGGAATCTGGGAGAAGGGGATAGAATCTGGGAGAAGGGGATGGAATCTGGGAGAAGGGGATGGAATCTGGGAGAAGGGGATGGAATCTTGCTGAAGGGGATAGAATATGGGAGAAAAGGATGGAATCTGGGAGAAGGGGATGGAATCTGGGAGAAGGGGATGGAATCTGGGAGAAGGGGATGGAGTCCGGGAGAAGGGGATGGAATCTGGGAGAAGGGGGTGGAATCAGGGAGACGGGGATGGAATCCGAGAAAAGGGGATGGAATCTGGGAGAAGGGGATGGAATCTAGGAGAAGGGGATGGAATGAGGGAGAAGGGGATGGAATCTGGGAGAAGGGGATGGGATCTGGGTGAAGGGGATGGAATCTGGGAGAAGGGGATGGAATCTGGGAGAAGGGGATGGAATCTGGGAGAAGGGGATGGAATCTGGGAGAAGGGGATGGAATCTGGGAGAAGGGGATGGAATTGGGGAGAAGGGGATGGAATCGGGGAGAAGGGGATGGAATCTAGGAGAAGGGGATGGAATCTGGTAGAAGGGGATGGAATCTGGGAGATGGGGATGGAATCTGGCAGAAGGGGATGGAATCTGGGAGAAGGGGATGGAATCTGGGAGAAGGGGATGGAATCTGGGAGAAGGGGATGGAATCTGGGAGAAGGGGATGGAATCTGGCAGAAGGGGATGGAATCTGGGAGAAGGGGATGGAATCTGGGAGAAGGGGATGGAATCTGGAGAAGGGGATGGAATCTAGGAGAAGGGGATGGAATCTGGGAGAAGGGGATGGAATCTGGGAGAAGGGGATGGAATCTGGGAGAAGGGGATGGAATCTGGGAGAAGGGGATGGAATCTGGGAGAAGGGGATGGAATCTGGGAGAAGGGGATGGAATCTGGGAGAATGGGATGGAATGAGGGAGAAGGGGATGGAATCTGGGAGAAGGGGATGGAATCTGGTAGAAAGGATGGAATCTGAGAGAAGGGGATGGAATCAGGGAGAAGGGGATGGAATCTGGGAGAAGGGGATGGAATCTGGTTGAAGGGGATGGAATCTGGGAGAAGGGGATGCAATCTGGGAGAAGAGGATGGAATTAGGGAGAAGGGGATGGAATCTGGAAGAAGGGGATGGAATCTGGGAGAAGGGGATGGAATCTGGGAGAAGGGGATGGAATCAGGGAGAAGGGGATGGAATTTGGGAGAAGGGGATGGAATCTGGGAGAAGGGGATGGAATCTTGGGGAAGGGGATGGAATCTGGGAGAAGGGGATGGAATCTGGGAGAAGGGGATGGAATGAGGGAGAAGGGGATGGAATCTGGGAGAAGGGGATGGAATATGGGAGAAGGGGATGGAATCTAGGAGAAGGGGATGGAATCTGGGAGAAGGGGATGGAATCTGGGAGAAGGGGATGGAATCTGGGAGAAGGGGATGGAATCTGAGAGAAGGGGATGGAATCTGGGAGAAGGGGATGGAATCTGGGAGAAGGGGATGGAATCTGGGAGAAGGGGATGGAATCTGGGAGAAGGGGATGAAATCTTGGAGAAGGGGATGGAATGAGGGAGAAGGGGATGGAATCTGGGAGAAGGGGATGGAATCAGGGAGAAGGGGATGGAATCAAGAAGAAGGGGATGGAATTTGGGAGAAGGGGATGGAATCTGGGAGAAGGGGATGGAATCGGGGAGAAGGGGATGGAATCCGGGAGAAGGGGATGGAATCTGGGAGAAGGGGATGGAATCTGGGAGAAGGGGATGGAATCGGGGAGAAGGGGATGGAATCTGGGAGAAGGGGATGGAATCTGGGAGAAGGGGATGGAATCTGGGAGAAGGGGATGGAGTCCGGGAGAAGGGGATGGAATCTGGGAGAAGGGGGTGGAATCAGGGAGACGGGGATGGAATCCGAGAAAAGGGGATGGAATCTGGGAGAAGGGGATGGAATCTAGGAGAAGGGGATGGAATGAGGGAGAAGGGGATGGAATCTGGGAGAAGGGGATGGGATCTGGGTGAAGGGGATGGAATCTGGGAGAAGGGGATGGAATCTGGGAGAAGGGGATGGAATCTGGGAGAAGGGGATGGAATCTGGGAGAAGGGGATGGAATCTGGCAGAAGGGGATGGAATCAGGGAGAAGGGGATGGAATCTGGGAGAAGGGGATTGAATCTGGGAGAAGGGGGTGGAATCTGGGAGAAGGGGATGGAATCTGGGAGAAGGGGATGGAATCTGGGAGAAGGGGATGGAATTGGGGAGAAGGGGATGGAATCGGGGAGAAGGGGATGGAATCTAGGAGAAGGGGATGGAATCTGGTAGAAGGGGATGGAATCTGGGAGATGGGGATGGAATCTGGCAGAAGGGGATGGAATCTGGGAGAAGGGGATGGAATCTGGGAGAAGGGGATGGAATCTGGGAGAAGGGGATGGAATCTGGGAGAAGGGGATGGAATCTGGCAGAAGGGGATGGAATCTGGGAGAAGGGGATGGAATCTGGGAGAAGGGGATGGAATCTGGAGAAGGGGATGGAATCTAGGAGAAGGGGATGGAATCTGGGAGAAGGGGATGGAATCTGGGAGAAGGGGATGGAATCTGGGAGAAGGGGATGGAATCTGGGAGAAGGGGATGGAATATGGGAGAAGGGGATGGAATCTGGGAGAAGGGGATGGAATCTGGGAGAATGGGATGGAATGAGGGAGAAGGGGATGGAATCTGGGAGAAGGGGATGGAATCTGGTAGATGGGATGGAATGAGGGAGAAGGGGATGGAATCAGGGAGAAGGGGATGGAATCTGGGAGAAGGGGATGGAATCTGGTTGAAGGGGATGGAATCTGGGAGAAGGGGATGCAATCTGGGAGAAGAGGATGGAATTAGGGAGAAGGGGATGGAATCTGGAAGAAGGGGATGGAATCTAGGAGAAGGGGATGGAATCTGGGAGAAGGGGATGGAATCAGGGAGAAGGGGATGGAATTTGGGAGAAGGGGATGGAATCTGGGAGAAGGGGATGGAATCTTGGGGAAGGGGATGGAATCTGGGAGAAGGGGATGGAATCTGGGAGAAGGGGATGGAATGAGGGAGAAGGGGATGGAATCTGGGAGAAGGGGATGGAATATGGGAGAAGGGGATGGAATCTAGGAGAAGGGGATGGAATCTGGGAGAAGGGGATGGAATCTGGGAGAAGGGGATGGAATCTGGGAGAAGGGGATGGAATCTGAGAGAAGGGGATGGAATCTGGGAGAAGGGGATGGAATCTGGGAGAAGGGGATGGAATCTGGGAGAAGGGGATGGAATCTGGGAGAAGGGGATGGAATCTGGGAGAAGGGGATGAAATCTTGGAGAAGGGGATGGAATGAGGGAGAAGGGGATGGAATCTGGGAGAAGGGGATGGAATCAGGGAGAAGGGGATGGAATCAAGAAGAAGGGGATGGAATTTGGGAGAAGGGGATGGAATCTGGGAGAAGGGGATGGAATCGGGGAGAAGGGGATGAAATCCGGGAGAAGGGGATGGAATCTGGGAGAAGGGGATGGAATCTGGGAGAAGGGGATGGAATCGGGGAGAAGGGGATGGAATCTGGGAGAAGGGGATGGAATGAGGGACAAAGGGATGGAATCTGGGAAAAGGGGATGGAACGTGGGAGAAGGGGATGGAATCTGGGAGAAGGGGATGGAATTTGGGAGAAGGGGATGGGATCAGGGAGAAGGGGATGGAATCGGGGAGAAGGGGATGGAATCTTGGAGAAGGGGATGGAATCTCGGAGAAGGGGGTGGAATCTGGGAGAAGGGGATGGAATCCGGGAGAAGGGGATGGAATATGGGAGAAGGGGATGGAATCTGGGAGAAGGGGATGGAATCTGGGAGAAGGGGATGGAATCTGGGAGAAGGGGATGGAATCTGGGAGAAGGGGATGGAATCAGGGAGAAGGGGATGGAATCTCGGAGAAGGGGATGGAATCTGGGAGAAGGGGGTGGAATATGGGAGAAGGGGATGGAATCTGGGAGAAGGGGATGGAATCTGGGAGAAGGGGATGGAATCTGGAGAAGGGGATGGAATCTGGGACAAGGGGATGGAATCAGGGAGATGGGGATGAAATCTAGGGGAAGGGGATGGAATCTGGGAGAAGGGGATGGAATCTGGGAGAAGGGGATGGAATCTGGGAGAAGGGGATGGAATCTGGGAGAAGGGGATGGAATGGGAGAAGGGGATGGAATCTGGGAGAAGGGGATAGAATCTGGGTGAAGGGGATGGAATATGGGAGAAGGGGATGGAATCTGGGAGAAGGGGATGGAATCTGGGAGAAGGGGATGGAATCAGGGAGAAGGGGATGGAGTCCGGGAGAAGGGGATGGAATCTTGGAGAAGGGGGTGGAATCAAGGAGAAGGGGATGGAATCCGGGAGAAGGGGATGGAATCTGGGAGAAGGGGATGGAATCCGGGAGAAGGGGATGGAATCTGGGAGAAGGGGATGGAATCTGGGAGAAGGGGATGGAATCTGGGAGAAGGGGATGGAATCCGGGAGAAGGGGATGGAATCTGGGAGAAGGGGATGGAATCTGGGAGAAGGGGGTGGAATCTGGGAGAAGGGGATGGAATCTGGGAGAAGGGGATAGAATCTGGGAGAAGGGGATGGAATCTGGGAGAAGGGGATGGAATCTGGGAGAAGGGGATGGAATCTTGGTGAAGGGGATAGAATATGGGAGAAAAGGATGGAATCTGGGAGAAGGGGATGGAATCTGGGAGAAGGGGATGGAATCTGGGAGAAGGGGATGGAGTCCGGGAGAAGGGGATGGAATCTGGGAGAAGGGGGTGGAATCAGGGAGACGGGGATGGAATCCGAGAAAAGGGGATGGAATCTGGGAGAAGGGGATAGAATCCGGGAGATGGGGATGGAATCTGGGAGAAGGGGATGGAATCTAGGAGAAGGGGATGGAATGAGGGAGAAGGGGATGGAATCTGGGAGAAGGGGATGGGATCTGGGTGAAGGGGATGGAATCTGGGAGAAGGGGATGGAATCTGGGAGAAGGGGATGGAATCTGGGAGAAGGGGATGGAATCTGGGAGAAGGGGATGGAATCTGGCAGAAGGGGATGGAATCAGGGAGAAGGGGATGGAATCTAGGAGAAGGGGATTGAATCTGGGAGAAGGGGGTGGAATCTGGGAGAAGGGGATGGAATCTGGGAGAAGGGGATGGAATCTGGGAGAAGGGGATGGAATTGGGGAGAAGGGGATGGAATCGGGGAGAAGGGGATGGAATCTAGGAGAAGGGGATGGAATCTGGGAGAAGGGGATGGAATCTGGGAGAAGGGGATGGAATCTGGCAGAAGGGGATGGAATCTGGGAGAAGGGGATGGAATCTGGGAGAAGGGGATGGAATCTGGAGAAGGGGATGGAATCTAGGAGAAGGGGATGGAATCTGGGAGAAGGGGATGGAATCTGGGAGAAGGGGATGGAATCTGGGAGAAGGGGATGGAATATGGGAGAAGGGGATGGAATCTGGGAGAAGGGGATGGAATCTGGGAGAAGGGGATGGAATCTGGGAGAATGGGATGGAATGAGGGAGAAGGGGATGGAATCTGGGAGAAGGGGATGGAATCTGGTAGAAAGGATGGAATCTGAGAGAAGGGGATGGAATCAGGGAGAAGGGGATGGAATCTGGGAGAAGGGGATGGAATCTGGTTGAAGGGGATGGAATCTGGGAGAAGGGGATGCAATCTGGGAGAAGGGGATGGAATGAGGGAGAAGGGGATGGAATCTGGGAGAAGGGGATGGAATCTGGGAGAAGGGATGGAATTTGGGAGAAGGGGATGGAATCAAGGAGAAGGGGATGGAATCTGGAAGAAGGGGATGGAATCTGAGAGAAGGGGGTGGAATCTGGGAGAAGGGGATGGAATCTGGGAGAAGGGGATAGAATCTGGGAGAAGGGGATGGAATCTGGGAGAAGGGGATGGAATCTGGGAGAAGGGGATGGAATCTTGGTGAAGGGGATAGAATATGGGAGAAAAGGATGGAATCTGGGAGAAGGGGATGGAATCTGGGAGAAGGGGATGGAATCTGGGAGAAGGGGATGGAGTCCGGGAGAAGGGGATGGAATCTGGGAGAAGGGGGTGGAATCAGGGAGACGGGGATGGAATCCGAGAAAAGGGGATGGAATCTGGGAGAAGGGGATAGAATCCGGGAGATGGGGATGGAATCTGGGAGAAGGGGATGGAATCTAGGAGAAGGGGATGGAATGAGGGAGAAGGGGATGGAATCTGGGAGAAGGGGATGGGATCTGGGTGAAGGGGATGGAATCTGGGAGAAGGGGATGGAATCTGGGAGAAGGGGATGGAATCTGGGAGAAGGGGATGGAATCTGGGAGAAGGGGATGGAATCTGGCAGAAGGGGATGGAATCAGGGAGAAGGGGATGGAATCTGGGAGAAGGGGATTGAATCTGGGAGAAGGGGGTGGAATCTGGGAGAAGGGGATGGAATCTGGGAGGAGGGGATGGAATCTGGGAGAAGGGGATGGAATTGGGGAGAAGGGGATGGAATCGGGGAGAAGGGGATGGAATCTGGAAGAAGGGGATGGAATCTGGGAGAAGGGGATAGAATCTGGGAGAAGTGGATGGAATCTGGGAGAAGGGGATGGGATCTAGGGAAAGGGGATGGAATCTGGGAGAAGGGGATGGAATCTGGGAGAAGGGGATGGAATCTGGGAGAAGGGGATGGAATCTGGGAGAAGGGGATGGAATCTGGGAGAAGGGATGGAATCTGGAGAAGGGGATGGAATCTGGCAGAAGGGGATGGAATCTGGGAGAAGGGGATGGAATCTGGGAGAAGGGGATGGAATCTGGAGAAGGGGATGGAATCTAGGAGAAGGGGATGGAATCTGGGAGAAGGGGATGGAATCTGGGAGAAGGGGATGGAATCTGGGAGAAGGGGATGGAATATGGGAGAAGGGGATGGAATCTGGGAGAAGGGGATGGAATCTGGGAGAAGGGGATGGAATCTGGGAGAATGGGATGGAATGAGGGAGAAGGGGATGGAATCTGGGAGAAGGGGATGGAATCTGGTAGAAAGGATGGAATCTGAGAGAAGGGGATGGAATCAGGGAGAAGGGGATGGAATCTGGGAGAAGGGGATGGAATCTGGTTGAAGGGGATGGAATCTGGGAGAAGGGGATGCAATCTCGGAGAAGGGGATGGAATGAGGGAGAAGGGGATGGAATCTGGGAGAAGGGGATGGAATCTGGGAGAAGGGATGGAATTTGGGAGAAGGGGATGGAATCAAGGAGAAGGGGATGGAATCTGGAAGAAGGGGATGGAATCTGAGAGAAGGGGATGGAATATGGGAGAAGGGGATGGAATCTGGTTGAAGGGGATGGAATCTGGGAGAAGGGGATGGAATCTGGGAGAAGGGGATGGAATCTGGGAGAAGGGGATGGACTCTGGAAGAAGGGGATGGAATCTGGGAGAAGGGGATGAAATCTGGAAGAAGGGGATTGAATCTGGGAGAAGGGGATGGAATCTGGGAGAAAGGGATGGAATCTGGGAGAAGGGGATAGAATCAGGGAGAAGGGGATGGAATCTGGGAGAAGGGGATGGAATCTGGGAGAAGGGATGGAATTTGGGAGAAGGGGATGGAATCAAGGAGAAGGGGATGGAATCTGGAAGAAGGGGATGGAATCTGAGAGAAGGGGATGGAATATGGGAGAAGGGGATGGAATCTGGTTGAAGGGGATGGAATCTGGGAGAAGGGGATGGAATCTGGGAGAAGGGGATGGAATCTGGGAGAAGGGGATGGACTCTGGAAGAAGGGGATGGAATCTGGGAGAAGGGGATGGAATCTGGGAGAAGGGGATGGAATCTGGGAGAAGGGGATAAAATCAGGGAGAAGGGGAAGGAATCTGGGAGGAGGGGATAGAATCTGGGAGAAGGGGATGGAATCTGGGAGAAGGGGATGGAATCTGGGAGAAGGGGATAGAATCAGGGAGAAGGGGAAGGAATCTGGGAGAAGGGGATGGAATCTGGGAGAAGGGGATGGAATCTGGGAGAAGGGGATGGAATCTGGGAGAAGGGGATGGAATCTGGGAGAAGGGGATGGAATCTGGGAGAAGGGGATGGAATTTGGAGAAGGGGATGGAATCTGGAGAAGGGGATGGAATCTGGGAGAAGGGGATGGAATCTGGGAGAAGGGGATGGAATCTGGGAGAAAGGGATGGAATCAGGGAGAAGGGGAATCATTCCATCCCCTTCTCCCAGATTCCATCCCTTTCTCCCAGATTCCATCCCCTTCTCCCAGATTCCATCCCCTTCTCCCTGATTCCATCCCCTTCTCCCTGATTCCATCCTCTTCTTCCAGATTCCATCCCCTTCTCCCAGATTCCATCCCCTTCTCCCAGATTCCATCCCCTTCTCCAGATTCCATCCCCTTCTCCCAGATTTCATCCCTTTCTCCAAGATTCCATCCCCTTCTCCCTAATTCCATCCCCTTCTCCCAGATTCCATCCCCTTCTCCCAGATTCCATCCCCTTCTCCCTCATTCGATCCCCTTCTCCCAGATTCCATCCCCTTCTCCCAGATTCCATCCCCTTCTCCCAGATTCCATCCCCTTCTCCCAGATTCCATCCCCTTCTCCCAGATTCCATCCCCTTCTCCCAGATTCCACCCCCTTCTCCCAGATTCCATCCCGTTCTCCCAGATTCCACCCCCTTCTCCGAGATTCGATCCCCTTCTCCCAGATTCCCTCCCCTTCTCCCTGATTCCATCCCCTTCTCCCTGATTCCATCCCCTTCTCCCAGATTCCATCCCCTTCTCCCATATTCCATCTCCCTCTCCCAGAATCTATCCCCTTCTCCCAGATTCCATCCCCTTCTTACAAATTTCATCCCCTTCTCCTAGATTCCATCCCCTCTTCCCAGATTCCATCGCCTTCTCCCTGATTCAATCCCTTTCTCCCAGATTCCATCCCCCTCTCCCCCTGATTCCATTCCCTTCGCCCAGATTCCATCCCCTTCTCCCAAATTTCATCCCCTCCTCCCAGATTCCACCCCCTTCTCCCATATTCCATCCCCTTCTCCCAGATTCCATCCCCTTCTCCCAGATTCCATCTCCTTCTCCCAGATTCCATCCCCTTCTCCCAGATTCCATCCCCTTCTCCCAAATTTCATCCCCTTCTCCCAGATTCCACCCCCTTCTCCCATATTCCATCCCCTTCTCCCAGATTCCTTCCCCTTGTCCCTGATTCCATCCCCTTCTCCCAGATTCCATCCCCTTCTTCAAGATTTCATCCCCTTCTCCCAGAATCCATCCCCTTCTCGCAGATTCCATCTCCCAGAATGCAAAATTGCACGAACAAGGGCATAGCGTGTGCAAAATTGCAAGAACAAGGGCCTAGCGTGTGCAAAATTGCAAGAACAAGGGCCTAGCGTGTGCAAAATTGCAAGAACAAGGGCCTAGCGTGTGCTAAACTGCAAGAACAAGGGCCTAGCGTGTGCAAAATAGCAAGAACAAGGGCCTAGCGTGTGCAAAACTGCAATAACAAGGGTCTATTGTGTGCAAAATTGCAAGAACAAGGGCCTAGCGTGTGCAAAATTGCAAGAATAAGGGCCTAGCGTGTGCAAAATTGCAAGAACAAGGGCCTAGCGTGTGCAAAATTGCAAGAACAAGGGTCTAGCGTTTGCAAAATAGCAAGAACAAGGGCATAGCGTGTGCAAAATTGCAAGAACAAGGGTCTAGCATGTGCAAAAAAGCAAGAAGAAGGGCCTAGCGTGTGCAAAATTGCAAGAACAAGGGCCTAGCGTGTGCAAAATTGCAAGAACAAGGGCCTAGCGAGTGCAAAGTTGCAAGAACAAGGGCCTAGCGTGTGCAAAATTGCAAGAACAGGGGCCTAGCGTGTGCAAAATTGCAAAAACAAGGGCGTAGCGTGTGCAAAATTGCA